GTCCCTCCTCCCCCCCCGACTCTCCTTCTGGGCTTGAATCCCCCCCCCTTCCCCCTCCTGGACCTGAATGGCGTCAGCCATGGCGTCAGCCCCCTCCCCCCCCGACAGAGCGAAGCTTGAGCGAGCTCCCCCGCCCTCCCCCCTCCCGTGCGTGAATGGTGTCAGCCATGGCGTCCCTCCTCCCCCGACAGAGCGAAGCTTGAGCGAGCTCCCCCGCCCTCCCCCCTCCCGTGCGTGAATGGCGTCAGCCATGGCGTCCCTCCTCCCCCCCCGACTCTCCTTCTGGGCTTGAATCCCCCCCCCTTCCCCCTCCTGGACCTGAATGGCGTCAGCCATGGCGTCAGCCCCCTCCCCCCCCGACAGAGCGAAGCTTGAGCGAGCTCCCCCCCCCCTCCCCCCTCCCGGGCCTGAATGGCGTCAGCCAGCATGGCGTAAGCCCCCCCCCCTCCCGACTCCCCCCCCCTCTCCCTCCCGGGCCTCAATGGCGTCAGCCATGGCGTCAGCCCCCCCCCTCCGACAGAGTGAAGCTTGAGCGAGCTCCCACCCCCCTCTCCTCTCCCCGGCCTCATGGCGTCAGCCATGGGTCAGCTATGGCGTCAGCCCCCTCCCCCCCCGACAGAGAAGAAGCTTGAGCGAGCTCCCTCCCCCCCCCTCCCCCCTCCCGGGCCTGAATGGCGTCAGTCAGCCAGCATGGCGTAAGCCCCCCCCCCTCCCGACTCCCCCCCCCACCCTCTCCCTCCGGCCCTCAATGGCGTCAGCCATGGCGTCAGCCCCCCCCCTCCGACAGAGTGAAGCTTGAGCGAGCTCCCACCCCCCTCCCTCCTCCCTGGCCTGAATGGCGTCAGCCATGGCGTCAGCTATGGCGTCATCCCCTCCCCCCTCGACTTAGCTTGAGCGAGCTCCCTCCCCCCCCCTCCCCCCGGGCCTGGCCTGAATGGCGTCAGCCAGCATGCCGCTCCCCCCCCCCCCTCCCTACTCCCCCCCCCTCTCCTCCCGGGCCTGAATGGCGTCAGCCATGGCGTCAGCCCCCCCCCCCCCCCCCACGACAGAGCGAAGCTTGAGCGAGCTCCCGGGCCCCGGCGTCAGCCATGGCGTCACTCCCTCTCCCCTCCCGGACCTGAATGGCGTCAGCCATGGCGTCAGCCCCCCCCCCCCTCTCCTCCTCTCCCGGGCCTGAATGGCGTCAGCCATGGGCCTGAATGGCCGTCAGCCTGATGGCGTGCGTCAGCCCCCCCCTCCCCCCCCCCCGAAAGAGCGAAGCTTGGCGAGCTCCCCCCCCCTCCCCTTCCCGGGCCTCAATGGCGTCAGCCATGGCGTCAGCCCCCCCCCCCCCGACAGAGCGAAGCTTGAGCGAGCTCAAGCCCACGATCTCAGAAATTCTAGACGCTTCGCGTATCCCCACCAGCCCGTCCAGAAACGACGCCCAGGCGAGTAGAGGGTCGTCCTGAGGGGCTTTTCGGCGTCTTGGGTGCCTCGGGGGGGCCTCTGTGGGCCGTTCGGAATCCTCTTTGGGGCCTCCTGGGGGCCTCTTGGGGCCTCTTGGGGCCATCTTGGGGCCTCTGGGAGCACCTTGGGTGCCTCTGGGGGGTCTCTTGGGGCCTCTTGGGGGTCTCTTGGGGGCCTCCTGGGGGCCTCTTGGGGGGCCTCTTGGGGCCATCTTGGGGCCATCATGCGGCCTCTTGGGGCATCCTGGGGGCCTCTTGCGGCCATCGTGGAGGAAATCGATCAAAGAAGAGGGGTTCCTAAATTTCAGCCCCCCCCTCAGGAGCCACGATCCTCGTGAGTGGTGTCGAATTTTAGCCCTCCCAGGGGTCGTTCTTGGACGCTCTAACTACCCGCGGCCCCCCCTGTCCAGGTCAGTGGGGAGGGGGTAGGGGGAGGGGTAAACCCCTCCCCGAAGGGGAAGAGGGAGGGGTGGAAGAGGAAACTCGTTAAACCACCGACGCCCAGAGGGCTGGTGGGACTCACGCGCCAGATCGGCGGACTCCCACATGCTTCCACACACTTCCACCTCTCTCTCCTCACAACTGCCTGCCTGCTCTCAGATTCCTGCCCAGGGTCACGCGCCGGGCCCGCTGTGCCTGCCACCCGTCTGGAGGGTTGCGTTCCTCGCGCCACTGCGTCTCGCTCCCTCCCAGGTGAGCGACGCAGGAAAACCAGGTCGACTGCAGCGACATCCGCGCGCAAGCTTCCCGCCTCAGGCCGCGCGTAAGCGCTCTCTTCTCCACTCGGTGTCCCACGCTGGTGGCCCGCGTAAGCCGCGGCGTGAGGTCGCTGCGCCATCGTGCGTCAGAGCCCTTTCTTCTCGTCGATCAGGTGGTACGGGAACTTGACCAACGAGTCCACCTTCGAGGAGTTCCAGGCACACTTGCACGGCCAGGGCAACCTCTCGCGCGTGTGCCCCAGGCCGTGTGCGGAGCCGGAGCCGCGCACGCGCGAGGGGCGCTGCCGCACCACCGTGGAGGGCGAGGACTGCCACCGGCAGGTGCGGTGGGCACGCGAGCGGGGCATCCGGGAGCACCCGAGGTCCGAAGAAGAGAAACCGCCATGGGCATACCGTCAGGAACTGATGGATAGCGTGTCGCTCCGCCAGTTCTTGCCCACCACGCTATGGCGCGACACGCTATCCACTTCCCAGTCCCCAGGCTTCCGCGCCCCGCGCCTCTCCAGTCTTCCCGTCCCGCGAGGCGGAGCGACACGCTGTAGCCGCTCGCAGGGCACGGCGTGTCGCTGGGGCCGCCGCCGCGACACGCTATGCAAAAGTCCGTGACCGTACACTTTCGGGGGTCTGTGCGGGCTTTTTGGGTAGGGGGCCACATGCGAACCTTACCCCTACCCCCCACGATTTCTGAGGGGGAGGGTGAAGTTCACTTCGTTCGGGAGGCACCCTGTTGGGTCGCCGCTGGGCCCCCCCATGGCGCCGCCCCCCCGCGCCGCCCCCGGCGCGCTCCGGGCGCCAGGGCGGTGAGGGGGCTGCAGCCCCAATCCGAGAAACCTGCGCGGACCTCCGCAAGGTGAAGTATGCTTATGCAGTTTTCTCTTCTGGAGGTGGTACCCGGGGCTGACGGCCAACTCCAGCCTCGAGGACTTCGTTGATGTGACCACTGGGAGCGTCTCTTTCCCGCATTCCATCTTAACTTTCGTCGGCCAACCAGAACGGAGCAACAAAGAAGCATACAGCCCCAAACAAAAAATTAAACCGGCAGTACAAAACAGAAGTACAAAACAGAAAACGAACCGAACACGGCCCGAAGGAGAATCCGAACACGGAAACACACAAGTGACCCCCCGACGGAACAATCACACGTCGATCTTTTGAATCGGCTGCGCCGGCGGTCGCAGGCGCGGGTGTGTCGTTTGCAGCGGGCCGCGCCCGGCGCGAGGCGCAGGGACAGGTGGGAAAGACGAGGGCGACCGCGGAGGAGTCCAGGGGACGGAGTCGGGCCGGGAGAGGGGCAGCACAGGGCCGCGCGTACAGTCGGCCCAGATTAGTAGCTCGACCCTGCCAGTTCAAGGGTAATTTTCCTCGTGTCCTGTGCCTCGCGACGCGTGCCTTCTCACACTCCACTGGCGATGTGGCCTTCGCAAGGGTCTCGTGTCCTCTCGCGTGTCCTCTCCAGTCGAGTCCGACTGCAGCGTGCTCCGCCCGATGCCTGCCCGAGGACATCCAGGCGTTCCTGCACGGCTCGTCGTACCAGCTGTCCCTCGTGTGCCCCGCGCCCTGCGTGGCGCAGGCGGCCCCCGCGCGCCGGGAGCAGCAGCGGCCGGCCGGCCCCGCGGAGCTCGCCGGGGGGGCGCCGCCGGGGGATGGCTGCCGCAGCGCGGTCGCCGGCGACCCCTGCCACCAGGAGTGCGGAAGCGAAGACTGGCGGGGAGCCCCCGGGGGAGGTCCGAGGGGGCGGGCCCTGCGCAGAAGGCTCGGAGGGCCTCTGGCCTTCTGGCAAGTTCTCCAGCCCTCGCAGGCGCAGGCGCCCTCTCATGGAAGGCGCGAGGGCTTCCGAGAAGCCCCGCCGCCTCTGAGAAGGCGATCCTTGCCACCAGAGATCGGGGAAACGTAAGGACTCGAGTTCGCCAGAACTCTGGTTAGCCGACGCTTTTTGACGGGCTCGTCCCGAGTTTTGACGGTCCGGTTTTCGTGGGACGTCTATAGCGGGAGCTCGCGCCAGACTTCAGATCGGGTCTCGTCATTGTTTTGACTGCCCCGTCAGGCCAACCCGAGTCCTCTGAACCCGAGTCTCCCGAACCGTTGCCGCAGCGTTGTCGATGATCTTTGCCAGCATGATTGAGGAAGCGGAAGCATGGATTGAGACGCGTGGATTAGCGACGGGCTCCGTTTCCACGAAGAATCGGCGCGCTCCGGCGCCAAATCAGGCGGCATTGGCCTCATGCTTCCGGGCAGCTTCCCTTGCGCCGACGCTCCAGATCCACAGATCCCTAGTCTATGCCAGCGTGTGCCCGACTCAGGAAGTGAAGTGGATGATGAACCAGGTCGAGGGAAGAAACGCGCTGACCATGGCTGAGGCGTCGCGGGGTCTTGTCGATGCCGATCTTGGTCATGATCCATGCCAGCCGTCGCCGATTCGCGAGGATGGCCCACAGATTCACGGTGGCCAAGATGGACGGTGAGCGAGATCGACTCCGACGTGTCCGCCCTCAGTCTTGGCCATGGTCACCGCTTCCTCTCCCTCCACCAGCCGCCGGAGAAGTTCCCCGGCCTGGCAGAGGAGCCGGGGCTCGAGGACGTGCAGGACTACCTGCACGGGCTGTACCCCATCCTCCAGCTCTGCCCCACCAGGTCGTGCCGGGCCGCGGGCGCGGCCCCGGCGACGGCGCGCGCGGCCGGCACGGCGGGGCCGCCCGCGTGGAAGGACGCCGGGGCGGCCGCAGGGGCGGAGGCCGCGGGCGCCGAGCCGCAGGCCAGGCCCGTGGCCGCGGGGCCCGCGGCCGGGGCCGCGGCCGCGGCGGCCACGGCGGGGGGCCCTCCTGCGGCCGAGCTCGCGGCGGGGCCCGTGCCCGCGGCTGCGGCGGAGGCCCCTGCGGCCGAGCCTGCCAGCTCCGAGCTCGCGGCGGGGGGCGAGGGGGGCCCGCCGGGCGGAGCCACGGAGGCCTCGCCCGCGGTCGCAGGCTCTGCGTCGGGGGCCGGTGCGACGGCATCGCCAGGCTCGCCCTCCTGGCCGGCGCCCGGCGCTATGCCGCCGCCGCCAGGGTCGCTCTCTGGGCCCGCTGCCACAGAGCTGGCGCCGCAGCCCTCTGCACCGCCCCTCCCGAACTACTCGGGGTGCTTCGTCTGGCTGCCCAGCGGGTGCAGAGCTGCTCACCCCTTCGCCGCGCAGCCTCAGTGGAGGCAGGACCGGTGGGGTGAAGCCAACCTGCGCTCCGCTGGCAGCAAGGCAGCGTGCGACGCCCGCAAGAGCGCTTTCGACGGATGGTGCAGGGTGACGGACGCCGTGATGGCTCACGTGCCCTCGAGCGCTCAGAGAGTGCCCTCCCAGGGTGTTGTTCCGCAGGGCGCAGGAGTTGATGGGACGAGCCTCCAGACCGACGTGGGCGTCTCGAGGGCTGCAGGTCCAGCCCGCACGAAGTCGCACGCGGACCATCCGAGGAGGACGCTGCCCGAGGACGCGCCCCCTCTCCCCGACGGCGCCGGGTGCTACGTGTGGCTGCCCAGCGGGTGCAAAGCGCAGCACGCCCGCGCGGCACGAGTCTGGATGAGGACCGGCAGCGGGAATCCAGGACACCACCGCGCCTGGCCAGGGCCATCCCGGACCCAGCGATGCTTTGCACGAGCCTCCTGGCCTCGGCCAGGAGGTCGTACATACCTCCCCAGAGCTCCGACGCTGCGACGTTTTCACACCGTCGGACCACCCGAGGTCTCGGCCCCTTGTTTCGTTCCGGGCCGTTCTGTCGACGGTCTCCCGAGGCTCGGCGAGGGTCCCCCTGGAGGCCGAGAACTGCCAAGAACCTCCGGCCGTGACTGTTTCGCGACGAGCGGATGTGGGGGACAGGGCTGGACCTAAACGCTGTTTTGCTGGACTTCGGCTGTGATTTGTTTTTCGCTTAGGCAGGGAGGTACAGGAAAACAGGTAGAGCAAAACGAACACAAAACGAAGACACATCGAACAACAACGCTGAGGTCCAGCCCTGGTGGGGGATGTCAGTGCCCAGGATGGTCACATTCAGGCACGGAGGTGGTGTACACAACTCTCCGCGACATCAAGCGCAAGTTTTTGTCCGCGACATGGCGGCGACCCCAGACCCCCGACTTCAATGCTCGCGCCGAAATTGGCGACCTATACTTTTCTTCGGACCCCGCGGGCCGCGTTGCGCGCGTCGCTGAACATTGGAATTGGAGGGGCGAGGGGGGCAGAGTTTGAGCTGGACGGTGTTTTGGCAATTTCGTGGACTGCTTCGGTTTCGAGCTCGTTGCGCAGCAGGGGCGGAGCGAAGCTGGAACGAGGTAGCACGAACACAAAACGAAGACGACTACTTCTGTGTAGCTCGGGCCCCGGATGGGGGGTGGAAAAAGCTTGCGTCTGATTTCGCGGAGGGCTGTGGGTGCTCTCCGCGCAGCGAGGAGCACCGTGGACGTCCCCGGCGGGCGCGCGGCGGACGGCAGGGCGGCGTGCGACGCCCGCAGGAGGGGCTTCGAGCAGCTGTGCCAGGTGCAGGACGCGGGCGGCCAGGCCCAGACTTATGTCGGGCGTGTCCCCCTACAGGGGGATTTTCGACGAAAATATCAGATACCCCCAAAATAGTCCAAAAATAGTCCGAACATTGTTTGGGGACTATTTTTTGAGTTTTGTTTTGTTTTTGTTTTTTAAATACCTTCTTGGTGTATTTTTTGTATTTTTCCATTTTTCGTCGACAATCCTCCTGTAGGGGGACAGGCCCGACTTAAGCCCAGACACCTGACGACCTCGTTCGCGTCCACTCCCGGCGCTTTCTCGCGATCTCGGCCTCGGAGGGAGCCGTCTCCGGGCCCCGGGCCCATCACAGCCGGAGCTGGGACGAACACCTACACATTGTTCATTTCTGATTATCCGAAAGTTCTTGATTCCCAACCATCCTGTGGTGTTGGGTCCTCCTCACACGTTTTGGCCCCATTTCGGCACCCCCTCACACGTTTCGTGGCCCCATAGGGAGCCCCACCGAAGGCCCCAGTGCTGCCGCCCGCATGCGTCCCGCACCCCAATTCGGCACACCGCTCACACCCGCACGCTCAATTCGGCACACCCCTCACACGTTTCGTGGCCCCATAGGGAGCCCCACCGAAGGCCCCAGTGCTGCCGCCCGCATGCGTCCCGCACACCCAATTCGGCACACCCCTCACACGTTTCGTGGCCCCATAGGGAGCCCCACCGAAGGCCCCAGTGCTGCCGCCCGCATGCGTCCCGCACACCCAATTCGGCACACCCCTCACACGTTTCGTGGCCCCATAGAGCTCCGCCGAAGGCCCCAGTGCTGCCGCCCGCATGCGTCCCGCACACCCATTTCGGCACACCCCTCACACGTTTCGTGGCCCCATAGGGAGCTCCACCGAAGGCCCCAGTGCTGCCGCCCGCATGCGTCCCGCACACCCACTTCGGCACACCCCTCACACGTTTCGTGGCCCCATAGGGAGCTCCACCGAAGGCCCCAGTGCTGCCGCCCGCATGCGTCCCGCACACCCACTTCGGCACACCCCTCACACGTTTCGTGGCCCCATAGGGAGCTCCACCGAAGGCCCCATGCTGCCGTCCGCATGCGTCCCGCACACCCATTTCGGCACACCCCTCACACGTTTCGTGGCCCCACAGGGAGCTCCACCGAAGGCCCCAGTGCTGCCGTCCGCATGCGTCCCGCACACCCATTTCGGCACACCCCTCACACGTTTCGTGGCCCCATAGGGAGCCCACCGAAGGCCCCAGTGTGCCGCCGCATGCCCGGCAGTGCTGCCGCCCCATGCGTCCCACACACTCAATTCGGCACACCCCTCACACGTTTCGTGGCCCATAGGGAGCCCCACCGAAGGCCCCAGTGCTGCGCCCGCATGCGTCCCGCACACCCAATTCGGCACACCCCTCACACGTTTCGTGGCCCCATAGGGAGCCCCACCGAAGGCCCCAGTGCTGCCGCCCGCATGCGTCACGCACACCCAATTCGGCACACCCCTCACACGTTTCGTGGCCCCATAAGGGAGCCCCACCGAAGGCCCCAGTGCTGCCGCCGCATGCGTCACGCACACCCAATTTCGGCACACCCCTCACACGTTTCGTGGCCCCATAGGGGCTCCACCGAAGGCCCCAGTGCTGCCGCCCGCATCCGTCACGCACGCCCAATTCGGCACACCCCTCACACGTTTCGTCGGGCCCCATAGGGAGCCCCACCGAAGGCCCCAGTGCTGCCGCCCGCATGCGTCGGCCCCAGTGCTGCCGCCCGCATGCGTCCCGCACACTCAATTCGGCACACCCCTCACTCGTTTTGTGGCCCCATAGGGTGCCCCACCGAAGGCCCCAGTGCTGCCGCCCGCATGCGTCCCGCACACCCAATTCGTCACACCCCTCACACGTTTCGTGGCCCCATAGGGAGCCCCACAGAAGGCACCAGTGCTGCCGCCCGCATGCGTCCCGCACACCCAATCCGGCACACCCCTCACTCGTTTCGTGGCCCCATAGGAAGCTCCACCGAAGGTCCCAGTGCTGCCGCCCGCATGCGTCACCCACACCCAATTCGGCACACCCCTCACACGCTTCGTGGCCCCATAGGGAGCTCCACCGAAGGCCCCAGTGGCGGCGCTCACATGCGCATGCGTCCCGCACACCCATTTCGGCACATCCCTGACAGGTTTCGTGGCCCCATCATCCACCGGAGGCCCCAGTGGCGGCGCTCACATGCGTCACCCACACCCACCCAATTCGGCACACCCCTCACACGTTTCGTGGCCCCATAGGGAGCTCCACCGAAGGCCCCAGCGGCCGCGCTCACATGCGTCCCCGCCACCCATCCCGGCACGCCCCTCACAACAACAGGTTTCGTGGCCCCATAGGGAGCTCCACCGAAGGCCCCAGTGGCACTGCCCGCATGCGTCACGCACACCCAATTCGGCACACCCCTCACACGTTTCGTGGCCCCATAAGGGAGCCCCACCGAAGGCCCCAGTGCTGCCGCCCGCATGCGTCACCCACACCCAATTCGGCACACCCCTCACACGTTTCGTGGCCCCATAAGGGAGCCCCACCGAAGGCCCCAGTGCTGCCGCCCGCATGCCCCATAGGGAGCTGCACCGAAGGCCCCAGTGGCGGCGCTCACATGCGTCCCCGCCACACATCCCAGTACACCCCTCACGCGCTTCTTGGCCCCATAGGGAGCTCCACCGAAGGCCCCAGTAGCGGCGCTTACATGCGTCTCCGCCACCCATCCCGGCCCCCCCCCCCGCAGCAGCATCATGTTTCGGGGACCCATAGGGAGCTCCACTGGAGGCCCCAGTGGCGGCCCTCACATGCGTTTCCGCCACCCATGTCGGCACGCCCCGCGCGTGTTTCATGTCCCCATAGGGAGCTTCGCCGAATGCCCCAGTGGCACCCATCTCGGCACACCCCTCACACGTTCCGTAGTCCTATGGGGAGTTCCACTGAAGATGAAGCCCGCAGCTGCGGTACTGACAACTGCATATGGTTGGGTTCTTCGCCAGGCTATTTTTTTGGTTTGGGGGGCCAAGATCCTTTCATTTCTATTGTTCCATCCTGGGCCTCTTCCTAGCCACTAGGGGGCCAGGAACAATTAGAAACGAGCACAATTAGAAATAAGCACGATTAGAAATTCACGACGTGCACCCCTGGGGAATGGGTCGGGACCTCTGGGACCGCGGATTGCACAAATCCTATCGGCGTTGGCCGGGGCAGGGAGCCTCCCTGGCCCCAGCAGGGGGGCACAGGAGAGCTCTCCACGAAGATGACGACGGCGATGTCTTCGCCTCAGAGGTTTTTGGGCGTGTCTGGAGGTTCTCGCCTCGGCGCGGCTGGGCGCAGCGCGAAGAGCTGGCCAGGATAGACTCTGGAAGGGGTGGGGTCTGGGGGCCGATTTGGATGTTCGAGGATCGCCACGAAGACGAAGGGTTCTGAGGGGAAGGGGACCTGAGGTCTTTCCCTTTTTTCGGCCTCGCGGGGCCCTTTCAAGCCGCCGGGATGGTCAAAAGAGCGCTCAGGACGAAAAGGCGGTCAAGGGCTTCGCTTCGCCAGGTCAAGAGTCGGCGGGGCCGCCCTGCTCATGTACACGCCGGTCGTTGAAAGTAGGTATTTTTGGATTCCCAGACTCCAATCTACTTCAAGCGCCTTCCTACTTCAAGAATCGACATGCTTTTGCTGTGTTTTGTTATTCTCCGGGAGGACCTGGACCCAATCTACCGCATCCGCCTTCCTACTTCATGTTTCTACCTACTTCTTCCGACCGACGTGTAAGCTGTCTGGCCCGCGCCAGTCTCTCCAGCCCTGGGCACATCCCTCTCCCGCCGGCCTCGACTCCGTCTGGCCCGGCTCCCCCCGGTGCACGTTGCAGGCTCCGCGACGAGATTCTGCCAAATCCTACCATTTCCGCCTCCGCCCTCTCCTCCTCGCCAAAGGTTCAGGACAGACATAATTAATCGTCGAGTCCCCAGAAAATATGGGAAAATATGGGAAGTGGGGGGGAAGACAACAACCAAGAAAATATTGGAAAATATGGGGGATCCTGTTTTGTGTGTATTTATTTAATCGCTTCGCTCATTCCGCCGGCCCATATTGTCGCACCGTTGTGGGCTAGCCGAGTTTTGGGGGCCGTTTTGGGGCCTCTTGGGGCCTCTTTTGGGCCTCTTGGGCGCCTCTTGGGGCGTCTTGGGGGCCTCTTGGGGGCCTCTTGGGGCCTTTTGGGGCCTCCTGGGCGCCTTCTGGGGCGGAGGGCTCGATTTTTCAGTTCTCGGTTCCCCTCTTGAGCCCCTCTTGGGCCCGTCTTGGGGCCTCTTGGTCCGTCTTGGGCGGCACTTGGGCCGTTTTGGGGGCCCTCCTGGGCCGTTCCGGGGCCGTCTTGGGAGCCTCGTGGGCCGTCTTGGAGCGGTCTTGGGGGCCTCTTGGGCCGTCTTGGAGCGTCCGGAAGCCGAAAAAGCCAGAACGCAAAGAACATCGAAAAAAACAATGAAAATCAACGATTTTGGCCTCTTGGGGCCCTCTTCGGAGGCCTCTTGGAAGGCCCTTGGGGCGTCTTGGAGGCCTCTTGGGCTGTCTTGGGGCCCTGTTGGGCGTCTTCCGGCGATCTTTGGCCGTCTCGGGGCCCTCTTGGACCGTCTTGGAGGCTTCTTGGGGACGACCTCTTGGCCCGTCCTGGGGCCCTGTAACAGAACTCCGGCATCTCTGGCCCGACCTTGCCGGGACCTTGCCGGGGACTTGCCGGGACCTTGCCGGGGTACTTTTCGTCCGGGGACCCCCAGGGGCCGCCCCGCGCGCGCGAACTAGAAATATTGTTAACCAGGTACCGGAGATCTTAGCACGCCCTGGCCCGTTGGGCCGGCGAATTTGTGTGTCCCAGGGCCCCTTCACCACTTCCGCCTCCGCCCTCTCCTCCTCGCCAAAGGCATCCCGCGGAACGGCGCAGGGCTCGTTCTGAATGGCCCCTGCGGAGGGGGGAAAGGATAACGACGAACCAGGGAGGGTTGCAAGAGTGTGGATGACCTGTGGATGACCTGTGGATGAGAAGGGAGCCGGGTGACCGGACGAGGAGGTGGAGCATTGGGCCCCAGGGACCCGCCCTCGGGCGCGTGCTGACCAGGATCTCGAGAGGAGTCCAGCCGTGGCGACGCGAACGCCCCCCGTGGTGCCCCGAAAATCTGGAACCTCGAAGCTCGAATGCTCTACAGTCGGGGCGCTGAAGAAGGAACCCTTCTCGTTGGGGAGGGGCTCGATGCTCCTTAATTGTTCCACACCTTGCCTAAGGTTTCCCTTGAGTTTTCGATGGGAAGTCGACGTTTAACTTACGAAAAAGGGCCCTCGTTCCTTATTTAGGGTTCCTTAGGTCAACGCCTCGACTGTAGCCATCTCTAACCTCGAGGTCGGAGTGGGACCGCCGTGGCGACGAGAGCGCCCTCGGGGAGGCCCAGCAGGGGGCGAAGAGCGCCCCGAAGAGCGCGAGCCTCGAAGCTTCGGAGTTCTGGACCTCGAGATCCTCCGTCGCGGAGAAATTGCGACCAGAGCCCCGGAACACATCTTTCTGCAGCATCCTTCGAGCTGCATCGATGCGTGGAGGTCCCGGGGCCCGAAATATGACGAAAACGCCCAGCGTAAGAAGTTGCGACGCCAGGATCTAGGAGCGTCTTTTCAAATTCCCTGGCGATACCTGGCGTGACTAGGGCGGGAGAAGGGGACTGTCACCTGACGATGCGCGCCAGCGCCGTCTCGGAATGCTCACGAGTGGCTGGCTCGCAGACGGCGCCGGCGCGAATCGTGACGTGGCCAGGGAGGGCAGGGGGGGGGGGCTGGGTCCATGGACGACTTGTGTGCACCGCACCGCATTGGCGTTTCCAGAGGCGTCGTTGATCCTCGACCCAGGGACGGTACTACGGTGCACAGGTTTTAGGCGCTCGGGGCCGGGAAGCTATGCGCCGTACCGCGTTGCAGCGGGGCCTAACCGGAGTCCGAACATGGTCATTACGGTGCATGGGCACCGTTCTCGTAGGGGTCGGGGAACGAATAATGGCATAAACATTGAAAACTCGAAGGTCCGCGCGTACTTCTCGTAGGGGTAGGGGAACGAAGAATGACATACACATAAAGAACTCGGAGGCTCTCGCGTATCTCTCGTTTGGGTAGGGGAACGAAGAATGACATAAACACAAAAAGCTCGGAGGTCCGCGCGTATCTCTCGGATCGGCGCTGGACCCACCTCCCTGGCGCGCGGAGCGCGCCAGGGGCAGCGCTGGAGGCGCCGCCAGGGGGATCCAGCGCGGATCCGGGAAATCCGCGCGGACCTCGAGTTTTTATGCTTATGTATTTCTCCGTTCCCCTAAGGTTATGATGATCTCACCTACTTTAGCTTTGATCTCCAGAAAGAACATCGAGCACAAAGACGGTACGAAACTTGAGGGTTTTCACGTGTCGGGCCCTGGAGGCGAAACTCGCTCGACATTGCTTCGGTACTCTTCTGGGTGCTCGAGATCATTTCTGGGATGTGGTCCGCACGATGGAAACAGCATAACCCCACGGGGGGGCGGGGCCGGTAATGGGCGTTCTCGCGGAGCATTCTCAACCAAAAAGCGGGCTCCATGGGAACGTCGGGGTGGGTAGGCCCGGGGGCGGCGGCGGCCGGGCGCAGGACGCGGTGGTGGTCCACGTGCCCGCCGAGGGCGAGCGGCCAGGGCGGGCTCACCAGCTCCGCTTCGGCTAGTGGGCCGCCGGCCAGCCTCCTTCGGGGAAGGGTAGGGCCCCAGGCCTCCCAGATGGGGTCGAGGGATCGCGCCGCATCGCCGACGCATCGGCGATGCGGCACGATGCGGAGCCCGATTTTCTCCGCGCTGGTGTCGCCGAAGCACCGCCGACATCGCCGATGCATCGCGATGCATCGGCGATGCGACGCGATCCTCCGACCCCATCTGCTCCGACCCCATCTAGGAGGCCTGAAGACTCGAGTTCGCCAGAACTCGGATTTGCCGACGCTTCTTGACGGGCCCGTCCTGGACTTTGACGGTCCAGTTTTCTTGGAATCTCTGCAGCAGGAGCTCGCGTCAGATTTCAGATTGGGTCTCGTCGCCTTCTGACGGCCCCGTGAGGCCAACCCGAGATCCCCGAACTCGAGTCTCACGTCTCTCCGATCCCTCCTTGTAGGGCGGTCACTCAGCACGGCTCAGCGCGGCTCGGCGGCTGTCGCGGGCGCGCTTCAGGGGCAGTGTTAGGGGGGACAGGCTCAGGGGGGCTGCATCGACACCCAATGCCCGTTCATCGCTGCTAGAGGCTCGATAGCCCACCCCGCCCAAGACTGCGGATTCGCTATCGGGGGCTGGTCGCCGATCTATCGGCGATGTATGGCCGATTCAAGCTCGATGCTACCCCTGAGCTGGTCCCCCGTAACGTTGCCCCTCAGCGCTGCCTGAGCTCGAGACCAAGCGAATGTATCTTTCGCCGGGATCTTTACGGCTCTTCCGTTGTAGGTTACGCGTGATCGCATCTTGTTGCGCGTCCTCCCCACTTCGCTGCCTCAGCGCGCCCGGGCGGTGCGCCCAGAGAGAGCGCTCCCGTGGGCGCGCTGCCCGGGCACGCCGCGTGGGTGCGCTCAGCAGCTTCGCGGATTTCCGGCGGATGCATTTCTGTTCTGTCCCAGTGCGCTTCTCTTCCGTTTCGGCGTCACGGGGGGCCGCTCCCAGGCACCCAGGGCCATCGAAAGCGCCTCCGCGAGGAGGAAGAAGGCGGGACCTCTGGGGCCCGCGGGTTGAAACGCTGCATCGTCGGATGTCTGGGGAGGCCCCCGAGAGGGCTGCAGAGAGCTCTGCAGCCCCGCGGAGGCGTCCGGGTGCCTCGGTGGGCCGAGGCCTCGCGTGCGCACCTGGGCCGTCCTCCCAGGCGCTGCCGCAGTCCCGCGGGGCGAAGCGGAGGCGGGGCGTGATTGTCGCCCGCAGAAACTGCCGCCCTCTTCTTCGGTTCGCTTGCCGCTGCTGCCTCCCCCTCCCGTCACGCCATTCGACCCGCTCTCCTTGCCCACCGCTGAAGTGATGTCCGCATGGTGTGAGACGGGGGGGGGAGGAGGAGGAGGAGGAGGAGGAGGAGGAGGAGGATGAGCAGCAGGAGGAGGAGGAGGAGGAGGAGGAGGAGGACGAGGAGCAGGAGGATGAGGATGAGAAGGGAGACGAGAATGAGGTCGAGGAGGGACGAGGAGGGATGCGAAGTTTTAGGTTGATGAGCAGTGAGTTTTGATAAGGCAGGACCGAAACTTTGAAAGGGTACCGCGCTAAGGCGAGACCAGGATGTGGACAGGTGCTGCCGTCCATGCGAGCATCTGCTGTTGACTTTCATAGGACTGTGTGCTTCTCGATCGACGAGAGCCAGCATTACACAGAGGTGCTGGCATCCGCCCCCAACTGATGAATGGAAGAGACCCATGTGCGCAGCGTTATGTCGAAAGTCAGGTTTTGGAAGCGGTGGTGGTTCGCCGTTCTTTATGCTGTCAGAAATTTCCAAGTCGAATGTGCGCAGAAAGGCGAAGGCCAGATTTGCACAGGGACCGCCCTTCCCTCCGTGAGATTGTTGAAATGTTCGAGGCCGATGCGGGCGGTTCTGAAATTCATGCGATTTTTTACATTTTGACCTCTATCTGTGTAGCTCCTGGAAGTTCCACGCTTGAGGTTATCTCAGGCGAAACGCCGTGGCCGTCCCATTGACACCTCTGAGGTCTGAGAGTGCTTCGAGGAGGAGTTATTAAATCCCTTCGCTCATTCTGTCGGCCAATATTGCTTCGCCGCTGTCGTTTGTCGGGGTCGTTGTCAATGCGTGGAGGCCTCTTGGTGGCCTCATCGAGGGTCTTGTACGCGTCGTGCGCCGTCTGGAAGCCATCGTGGGTGTCTCGGACCGATCGTTCGACGAGTGCCAAGTGGAGCGCTGCAACTGGGCCGAGTGATCGTTGTCAATGCGGTGCTGCTGGGTGGGGTTGTTGATAATCGAAGACGCCTACGGCGAAACACCGCCGCCCCCTGCCTTGTTGGAAGCGCATGCGTGGCCGAAAGTTGGGTTTGAGCTTGGCCAAGCTATCGGCCCGAAAGCCTTCGGGGAAAACGGAGTCGTGCGAGCTATCGGACCAGGTGGTGTCCGAGCTTTCGGGCCTCCTGGAGGACGTCTTGAAGGGGTCTTGGGCCGTCCTGGATTCCTCTGGCGGGCTTTTTGGGCAGTCTAAGGCCATCTTCAGGCCATCTGGGGCCGTCTTGGGTGCATTTGGGGCCATCTTGGCCGTCTTGGAGGCATCTTGGAGGCCATCTTGGCCGTTTTGGAGACCATCTTGATCGTCTTGGAGGCTTCTGGAGCCGTCTTGGCGCCCTCTTGGGGCCGTCTCGGGAGCCTCTTGGGCCGTCTTGGGGCCTTATTGGGGCAGTCTTGGGGGCTTCTTGGGCCGTCCTGGGGCCATCTTGGCGGCCTCTAGGGCGATCTTGAGGCGACCTTGGGGGCTTCTTGGGCCGTCTGGGGCCGTCGGAAAGCCGAAAAGGTGCAAATCCCAACATCTTTCAAAAACCCTAGGGAAATCATTTTGGCCTCTTCGGGTCTTTCTGGCGGACCTCTTGGAGGCCTCTTGGGCCGTCTTGGAGGCCTCTTGGAGGCCTCTTGGAAGCCTCTTGGAAGCCTCTTAGGCCGTCTTGGGCCATCTTGAGGCTATCTTAAGCCGTCCTGGGTGCATCTTGGGCCGTCTTGGAGGCGTCTTGAGACCATCTTAGCCGTCTTGGACTCCATCTTGGCCGTCTTGGAGGCATCTTGGAGGCCATCTTGGGCTGAGCGACAAAGCCGACGAGGCAGGCAGCTGGTGGGACGCGCCGAAACCGAACCAAAACCAAACTGTAAGAAGTCTAGCACGCCAGGCACCACTGTCATGAATCAACATGGGGCGGCGGATCTATTGGCCTTCGGTCCATCCCGCCACCGTGCCGTGGTTGGCCCCACGGGGCATCTGGGAGGCAGTTCTGAGGCCTCTTGGGGGCCGTGTTGGGGCCTCTTGGGGCCTCTTGGGGGCCTCTTGGGGCGTCTTGGGGTGCCTCTTGGGTGCCCCTTGGGGCCTCTTCGCGGCCTCTTGGGGCCTCCTGGGGGCCTCTTGGGGCTGAAGGCTGGGCTTTTCGGTTTCTGGTCCCCTTCTGGGGCCCTTCTTGGGGCCGTTTTGGGGCCCTCTTGGGCTGTCTTGGGGCCCTATTGGGCTCTCTTGGGCCCATCTTGGGGGCGTGTTGGGCTGTCTGGGGACGATGTTGGAGGCCTCTGGGCCAGTTCTGGACGCTGTGAACCTCCAAACGTCGTACATGCGGAGCAATGTACGTTTTCCGGAGGTTATGGGGCGATTTTTGCTTGCTGGGGCCCTCTTGGAGAGCCTCTTGATGCTCTCTTGGGGATTTTTCGCGGCCTCTGGGGCCATCTGGAGACCATCTTGAGCGTCTTGGGACGATCTTTCGGCGAGTCGGGGCCTCCTGGGCCGTGTAGGGTTAAGTCGGGCCTGTCCCTGCGCAGGGGGAATATTCAAAGATAGGAAAGAATATTCTGGGGACCCTTTTTGACATATGTTTTGACCATTTGGGGGTATTTTTTGAGTATTTTTTTCCCGCCGAAAATCCCCCTGTAGGGGGACACGCCCGACATAATCCTGGGCCGTGTAGGGGGCGTCCTGGCGCCCTGGCGTCCTGGCGTCCTGGCGCCCTCTTGGCGCGCTCCTGGAGCGCCCTGGGGAAGCCGGCCGCGCATCGCCCGGGCATCGGCCAGGGCACTTCTCTTCGCCCGGGGGCCCCAGAGGTCGCCCCGCGCGCGCGAACCGGAAATACGCGCCC